ATATATAAATCAGGCTTATTTTATTGAATCTGTGCCATATCTTTATCGGAGCGACATGTTCTGCATATTGCTGTGATCAATAAAGTTGCACCATACGCATCCTAAATTTTCTCTAGAGCTATTACCTGTGGCGATCAGCTTCTACATTGTCCTCCAAAAACATAGGCGCAAACTATAAGTGTACTTCACTCTACCTCGCTTGCTATCAGTAAAGAAGCGGGCAGGTTTGCTCCCATAAAGTCCAGCGTCATACTCCTGCTATAGCTGCCACAGAGTTCTGATTCCTTTGTTAAGACAGGCTTCGCGAGAATCGTGGGGCTCATGCATGTCATTATGCTGCATGTTGCTACCTGATTCATTCTGGGCGTTTTCTAGGCGAGCGTTTCCTGCGGCATTATTTTTATGCTGGAATTTCGTACGGGCTTGTACTGGAAGTCGTAGTCTATTAAATTCGTCCATAATATCCTGCCTTAGCTTTCTGTGATTGTTCTTGAACACATTGTCATGTTGATCACTTTTCATTTCCATATCCTCGATCATACGCTTCAAGGGGGTAATATCTGTGCCTATAGCTATCATCTGGTTCTGTGTATCGTGCAGGTTGAGATTGTTAGGATCAACATTGTTAAAGTTCTGGTCAGCACCTTCAACTTCTTGGACTCTGAAGCCATCATCTCCAGCACGAATCACAACTGCAGGTCGTCGCAAAATTACCAAACTCTTATTCTCATCACTTATATCCGGAAGCAAATGTCTTACCATATCGTAGCAATATTTGTGGTACTCTACTGGTACTAAAAGGGACTCAGTTATACCGAGATACAATGCAACAATATTAAAATATTCTTTTGTGCTGGATATGAAAGCCAGGTAGGTCTCACACACCTGGTATAACCAATTTTATGTCCTCATCGTTAAGATTGAAGTCTGCAGTATAAGAATAACGATAGTAAATATTTGTAATTTCAGTATACACATATTTACGAATAAGTTTGCCATATATAGATACACATAGTTTATTCACAACACTAATCAAAAGCTTACCTGAGTTGATTCTATAGTTGCAAGCATCTCGGGGTCCACATAAGGCCTCAGATACTTTAGCATCAGGATACGGCATTAAAGAGCTGGAGTATCTATCGACCTGACGATTTGACTTCTTCTTTCTCTGACCCTTTGTTCTGGTCCTGGCCCATCTGCCTCTACCTTCTGCATCATCTTTTGAGCGTCAACGTCTCTGAGCATATGTGCACGAGCACTTTCTGAGACTATGCGTGCCGATTTCGTCGACTTCGCCCTTAGCCACAAAATTGTCTAGCCGTACAATTTTAGCAATTGCTCTCCTAGGCTCATCTGGCTTTAATTTGTCATGCCGACCCACAGTACCATTCAGAGTGCACAAATTCTCTAAATCTAACTGATGCGTATTAGTTCTCTCTAGCATGTGTTCTACAAGGTGAGCGGCCAGTGCACTAAGAGCGCAAAATTAAGATTCCATAGAGCCAAGTATGACTTGTGTGGCTACCTGACCCTTCTCTCTGAGATTCTTAACAGTGAACTAGAGTC